AAAAAAAAAGTTATCAAGCTCTTAAAAAATCACCCGCTATTATTGAATCATGTGAATCATGGGCTTCTTTCAGCCCTAGCGTAACAGTGGCCACAAACAACGAACATGTGCGCGAGCGTGCTCGGCTTCATTTTCAGTGAGCATGCTCGTCGTTTGTGGCCTGGTTTGCGAACATTAGCTCTGATCCAGTACTCCATGAACTTACAGGATTTTACACGAAGTTGCAGGATAAATGTTCCCGTACCTCAAAATCCTGTAAATGAGAGCGGCTTTTGGAGCGTTGTGTAGAGAATGAAGTTGCAAGATTTTACCCGAACTTTTTCTTCTGGTAAAATCATGAAAAGTGTCGAGCAATCACTGGTTGACGTTTTTACAGGAAGTTTTTTTTTTGTTCCCGCACTTTTTGTTGTTGCTCACTTTTTACTCTGACTTCAGAGAGTAATTTTGCTGTTTGACAGTTTTACAGGTTTTTTCACGAAAAATATTGGATCAGAGCTATTGCATTGGAAACAAGGCAGCAACGTCATTTTGTGTTGACGTGCATTAATTGAATTTTAAGTAAATGACGTTAAATTACTATATTGCATGATAAAAATATTTAAAGGTAAAACCAAGGCATATTAAAGAAGGTAGAAATGTTTTTGATATTTCTCTCTTTTGAACACCGACTATAACTACGGTGGGCAAACGCGGCTCTTTGCTTGAGGCGCTGACCCAATGCAGGCTTGCTTTGCACGCCTTGCTGACTAATTCACTTTGATTTACTTCGAAAACTTGTTTGGCCGAATGGCGGCCTGTAACGCTGTCAAAGTAACCAGATGTCTGGTTGAAAGGTCAATGTCTGTTCCCTTAACACAAATAATTATTTCCTTAGAAAACTGTAGAAAATGTGTCAAAAACTTTCATATTCCGCCCTATGTTGAATATCGTCATCGTCAGTAAAAGTGACCATACGGCCATCGCCAGCCATGCTACTGATGCGCTGACGATCGTCGACGATGACGATATCCGCATAGGGCCGCTTTATTTTTAAATTAATGCGAAATGATGATTGCATTTAAAAGAAATGGTAATAAAGATGCATATGAGTAGTCCACTTGCATACAGCGTTATGTGATTTTATAATCGAAAGCCATAAATTTGAAAAAAACGACTACGCCAACAAGAAACATTTAAATTGAATCTTTTTTATTAATACCCATGATTCAATAATTTGTAATTTGTGACAGCTAAAATTTGACACTCCATTATCTAGATTTGTATTTTGGAAGTAGGAGAAAGGGGAAGAATGTGATAGCATTTTGCGAAAACGGTAGTAGAATGGTACCACAAAAAGTACGCGAATTTGCAATATATTTGGTGTTTTAATGGAAATACTAAACAATACATAAAAATATGCATTTTTGATTTAAGTTGTTCGTCATTTCCGGGAACAAATCAAGAATACCGAACGTTCAGCTATGCAAAAACGAAAAATGCAGATCAATAGAAGCTCTGATCCAGTACTCCATGAACTTACAGGATTTTACACGAACTTGCAGGAAGTTGCAGGAAAAATGTTCCCATACTCCAAAATCCTCCAAAATCTTGTAAATGAGAGCGACTTTTGGAAGTTGTGTAGAGAATGAAGTTACAAAATTTTACCCGAAGTTTTTCTTCTGGTAAAATCATGAAAAGTGTCGAGCAATCACTGGTTGACGTTTTTACAGGAAAAATGTTTTTTTTTGTTCCCGTACTTTTTGTTGTTACTCACATTTTACTCTCACTTCAGAGAGTAATTTTGCTGTTTGACAGTTTTACAGGATTTTTCAGGAAAAGTATTGGATCAGAGCATGATCCAACTACTCAAGATCTGACAAGATGAAGCAAAAGAAAAAAGTAATTTTCTGGCTTACGTTTTTAATTTCGGCGCCATGTTATTTTCTGTGAAAAGTAAACAAAGAATATGAAGACAAAGCATAAAGAAAAACTGCAAGCAATGTTGTGCACATGTTTGTGCTAACCAATTTATTATTATTGTACGTGTTTTTGCATCCAATCACCGCGCACTTCATTTTAATTACATTTGCACAAAAAATCACTGAAATAAACCACCGACAAAATTTATGTGTAGAAGCAAAACAGAAAAAACAAACTTCAAAATTACGAACGTCACACACCTTTTTCTCAATTGCTATTACAAATGGCTGCTTCTCAACCGGCAGATCTGTTCTAATTGGTTCATGGCAGACATAGGCACTTTTTTGCCCGCGCAGTAGCGAAAGTGCGAGTGCGGGCTGGAGAAAGGGAAAAACAGTTTACGGGAGGAAGGGGATGAAAAGTTGCGAAAAAATTATTTATATCCCACCGACATCATGTTCATCGCAGTACGGCTGCGGTAATACTGACTTTGTGTACCAAACAAAGAGCATACATTTTCCTCATATACACAATAAGCCATCGTTC